TACCTGAAACAGAAAGGAATGTTTTAGTGACAACCATCATATATTTTGGAGAAATAAATCATAGTTTAGGTCAATTACTTTTCATTCTATGATGCCCGGTGCACAATTATATATACAGTATAGCATTCTATGTACAATTTTGTGACGACCGATGATGCACTAATTTTTCGATAAGTGAAATTTTTTCACCGAGCGAGGTAAATGGGTAATCAATATTCTTTGTTTGTAATCCATTTTTTTCTTAACTGGACCCTTTGCTTACTGAGGTTCTACTGTAAATGCGTGTTTGGGGGTGTCCTGAATAGCCCCGGGGGGTGTCCCGAGTAGCCCCGCCATGCGGAAATGGTTTTGGAATGAGATAGGACAATTCCGTCACTTACGTTTTCAAGCCGACACCTGAGTGCATCTTCTATGTAAGTAAAATTTTTTAATACGGCGAATTTTTTTTTGCCTACAGACCTTAGCAGAAGTAACTTTTCAAAATAGCATTTTTCACCATTTTTTCAGGAATTTTTCAAAGCTAGTAAATGTAGTATTTTTCGACTTCCTTTATAGATAGGAAAAATGTTGACGTTTATGCCACTATATTAAGTTTTGCAATATTCCAATTAGTTTTGCTACTATAACAGTTTTACGCCATGTCAGAGGACTGTCCCGAGTAGCCCCGCCAGTCCCGAGTAGCCCCAGTTGACGGTAAGTACCTATGTTATGCTAACCTCTAGGAAAATGAACATTCTTCTTTATGTACCTCCATTACTCTTTTATTTTACCTCAAAACTGCTCAATTGGTTCTGCCCAACCCTGTATATTGAGAGGTTGAGATTGTATTGATCTTTTAGGCAATTAGAAAGATTTTCCACCCTAATACGAGTATTTTAATTAAAATATTTAATTTCAATCTTTAAATATCATCATAATATGTGAATTCAAAACTAGAAACAAAACAATTACAATTATAAGACTATATATAAAAGAATGAAATGTAGTGAATGGATATAAAATATTTGAATTGTGCACATGTTTATTTCAGTGTTAGCTTTTCTCATAACTTAAGTCTCGTTTCAAGTCATATGAGGTTTGTTTGGTTATCATTCAGTTTTTGTTTAGTACAGCAATCCCTTGATTAACGCGGTTAATAAATCCCCGAGTTTTACCGTGTTAAGCAAAACGGCGCTAATCAAACTTAAGAATATGTGGGAATAATTATAATGAATCCTCAAAAATAGCAAAGGAAAGGAAAATTATGTAGTTTGATAAAAGTGAGCAGTAGATATGGCAGCGATCTTGACCAGTTGAAGGCTAACGAGTAACTAGCCCTTTACGCACTGAATTATGTTTCGAAAGTGAAAAAACAATCTGAATTACATTTCAGATCACGCGCAGTCTTTGTGTTGTACTGGCAGTAGCGGCGCACCTACTCCATCGAACGTTGTTCGAACGAGTTCACAACATGTGACGCTAC